ACCACAAAAATTCGCTGGGTGGTGCGAATTCGGTCACAGCTCCACTGAAGTAGTGAGCCACAAACAGGAGGAGGATGAGGAGGAAGCGGAGGAGACGGAGCTTGAACTTGAAAAAAAAATACGAATCACGCGGATAGAGCCGAGGCCTGCGGCCCCAGAGGAAAACAGGGCTCACGAAGCGTGCCCCGCCAGTGTCGGCACGGCCCCCACACGGGTCGTGCACCCCCCACGGGTGAGCTCCGCTTTCGGATCAAGGGGCCGCATTTGCATGGCATCCCTCTCCCGTCTCGACTCACCCTTCGCACGCATCGTGCCCCAGAAAGATGTAGATTCTCGTGCGGCCCCAGTCGGAGGATTCGCGCACCGTCACGTCCCCCTGTGTATGTTGACTGTCTCCTCACACGGATCGTGTTTTTTCTCGCCACAGCTTAGGAGAACACTCCCCCAACAAAGTGTGGCTGTTTTCCCGCCGATGGTCCACGCAGTATCTGGACCGCAGTGGGGGAAACTGGCGAAAATGTGTTCGCATTTGTGCCTCAATATTCGACAGCGCCAATGAAGGCAATTGTTTCCTGGACGGTTCCACAAGCGGCGAAGGAAAACAAATAGCACCTCGGGCGCACGCTGCGGCGCAGCCCTGCTGTGGTGAAACGTGCGGTTTTAACGACGTTTGGGAAGGAACGCGCGGGAAGGGACAAAAACGTTGTGCGGGCACCCCACATGACCTGGCCGGCCATTTGTATAATACGCACAACAGCAACCAAGACACAGGCCGATACGAATTCACCCAACATCGTATCACAGTAGCCGGGGGGCCGGGAGGAACGTAGGGGCCAAGAGAAACGTCAAAACGGCAGAAGACTGCGGGTGCAGCGAGTTTTGGCTAAATGACATAACGTAACATGCAGCATGCACGAGCAGAGTGGGGGGGAAGGAGGAGGAGGGGGGAAGGAGGGATAACATGACTGACCAGCACACCGATATCAACCAAGCGTTCCTTGCCACGCCGCGGTAACTAGGGCAGCCAACGACGGATGAGCTGCGCAGGCCTCGCGGCCATACTGCCACCAAGCGCCGGCCGCGTCCGCTGTAGTGTGGTGTCGCGCCGCGCAGGAGGCAGCATCTGTACAGTATGCGGCCAGGGCGCGACGAGCTAACAGAGGGGCCGTGCCCTCGGAAAATGAAGGCTCCAGAGCAACAAAGCTCGAGAGACGAACCGCTGGGGCGGGGCGGGGTAGACGCAAGTGCTTGTAGCCTAGCTCCGCCAGGCAAGGGCATTGCGCGAAGTTCTGTAGACTGTCTTCGCCACGCGGACACCCGAAGGGGCAAGGTGCCCAACGTCCAAAACGGCGGGCGGTCGTCCAGCTGTCACACAAGGCCCTGTACAATGAAGCCCAGACCCTGGGGGGCACAGCCGGTGCAAGACCGCGCAGAGCTGTCAACGCTCGGGGCAATCGACGACCTGGAAGGAGGTGGAGGGGAAGGCGAGACAGGGCGCGTGACAGCTCACGCGTGGTGCTCACTGGGCTCGGCGGCGTCAGCAGCTGGCGGCAGCGCCGTTGCCACTGCGACCGGGGGGTCGGGATAGCAGAAACACCTTGGACCAGCAATGCGACGGAGGTGCCTGTCCCGGCGGCGCGGGCCTCGAGGCGATACTGCGCGTCCGCGAGATTCATGATGAAGTTGCCAGTGTACCACTCGTGCCAGGTGGCCAACTGCTGGAGGTTGTCCGAACCGCTAATCATGTCCAGCAGCAAGCGCCGCCGGCGTGGGATGTGCAAGCCCCCTGTGGCGTCGGCCAGGTGACGTCCAGCAGCGAGGCCCCGGGAACAGCAGCGCGCATGCCTTCTGCTCATACTCGGCCCAGTCCGGCGGCAGCCTGTCCAGCTGCATGAGGAAGCAAAGGACGGGGAAGATGTAGACGCGGTGGGCGAGGATGGTGATGGGCATTCCTCCGCCCACGGCCCGCCATGTCCGCGCACGCGACATGTACTTCTGCAGCGGTTTCGTCCACGACGATTGCGCGCGCTCGGGCCCCACCTCGAAGCCCAAGCACGCGGCGTGCCGGCGCGCCGTGAACTCCCCCCAGGTGGGCGCTGCTGCGTGTAAGCGAAATCTGACAATGTCCAACGGTGTCAAGGATAAGGGCACCCACACGCTTTTCCCCCGGTGAAGCCGGAGTCCTGACAGCCGTCCATACTCGTCAAAAGCGTGCTCGAGAATGGGCGCGCCCCGCGTGCTGTGGGCGAGGGCCACCGCGAGGTCGTCGGCGTAGGCGCGCTGGTTGAACTCCGGCACTAAGCGTGGCAGCCGACATAACAGAACGTCCGACAGCACGGCAAAAAACAGCGGTGAAAGAGGGCAGCCCTGCCGCACCCCCGCGGTAAGCTCGAAACCCTCGAACGTGGCGCCCTGGACAATGATCTGGCATCGGTTGTAGCGGTAGAGGGCCTTGACCAAAGTGATGCACCAATCCGGCCAGCCACGGGCCACCAGCACGTCAATGAGAAACTCTTGGCTGACGGAGGGGAAGGCGGCCTCGAAATCGAAAAAGATGGCCGCCGCGCCCTCGTAGTCCAATGAGAAATTCAACATGGTCTCGTCGACCAGGCCTCCCAACGTCGGCGACGCAACCACCGCCTGCTTACCCGTCTGGCCCCCGGCCGAGGGTGCGCCAACTACGCCGTCAGCGACAGCGCTGGCCATGTGAGCACCGACCCCTCCCACATCGCCCGGGCTCTCCGGAGCCTTTGGTCGAGAGTCTTCAGCCGCAAGGGCACAGACGAAACGCTGCGGCGAGAATGGCTCGCGGACGAAGCGGCGCACTTCCCTGCTGTGGATAGGCAGCACGTGCCTGTCGATATCGTTCCGTTCGATTGTTTCGAACGCGCCATCCGGCACACCAAGAACAGCTCTCCAGGCCCCGATGGTATACCATTCCGAGCGTGGCGAAAACTGGGAGAGTTTGCCGCCCGTGCTCAGTACGATGCTTTTGTTGCCATAGTGAGCACCGACGGTTTGAGCCTCCTGGAGACGGACTGGGACGACTTCAATGAGAGTTCCATGGTGTTCTTGCCGAAAAGCTTAGTGGCGCTACCCCGGGCGGCATGGACTTCTACAGGCCTCCAAATAAGCGGCCTCTCAACATCACCAACGCGGACAACAGGATTATCGCCAGTGCGGTGCGCCTGTGGATCGACCAGCAGTCGCTCCGGGAATCTCCGACTCCCAGCGCGGCTTCCTACAGGGCCGCTCCATGTTGGCGAACCTCGTAGATCTCGACGAGACCATGTTGAACTTCTCATTGGACTACGAGGACGGATCGTACACGCAGGAAGCTCCACCGACAGCCCCAGAGCTAAGGTTTGCATCCCGCCGCCACGCCCATGTCGACACACCCCTGACCTGGATCGTGAGGTCGGGGCGTCATGGGTGCCTCTCGCGGCGCGTTTCTCAGGGTCCTCGTGAAGCCCTGAGATGGATCGTGAGTTGGGGGCCTCTGGAAGCCTCTCTGGGAACGCCGTGCAGGAGGTAGACGCAAGACGTCTCATTCGCTTCTGGGGGCCTATTGGAAGGCCTCCTGGGAGCTTCCTGGAAACACATAGGAGAAAGCGTCGGGTTCCTACTGGGACCCGCAGCGCTGCCAGCAGCGCCCGCAGCGGCACCCGCAGACTCAGGGCAGGAGTCGGGGCCTCCAAAGAGCCCCGAGACCGCGCGGCCACTCCTGAACTATAAGCCGACGGCATGGCGCCCCAGGCGCGCCCATGCCTCGGGCGACTCGGAAGTGCGGAGGGGGGCCGACGAGCGCCACTGCCCGAAGAGCGCGCGGGGGCGCCATCGCCGGCCAGGGCGATGTTGGGCCTGTCCCCCTACAGGTGGATTTTCGACGAAAAATACAAGATACCCCAAAAATAAACCAAAATTAGCCTGGCGAAGAACCCAACCATATGCAGTTGTCAGTTCCGCAGCTGCGGGTTTCATCTTCAATGGAACTCCCCATAGGATTACGGAACGTGTGAGGGGTGTGCCGAGATGGGTGCCACTGGGGCATTCGGCGAAGCTCCCTATGGGGACATGAAACACGCGCGGGGCGTGCGACATGGGTGGCGGAAACGCATGTGCGGGCCGCCACTGGGGCCTCCAGTGGAGCTCCCTATGGGTCCCCGAAACATGATGCTGCTGCGGGGGGGGGGCCGGGATGGGTGGCGGAGACGCATGTAAGCGCCGCTACTGGGGCCTTCGGTGGAGCTCCCTATGGGGCCACGAAGCGCGTGAGGGGTGTACTGGGATGTGTGGCGGGGACGCATGTGAGCGCCGCCACTGGGGCCTTCGGTGCAGCTCTCTATGGGGCCACGAAACGTGTGAGGGGTGTGCCGAATTGGGTGCGGGTGGTGACGCATGCGGGCGGTGCACTGGGGCCTTCGGTGGAGCTCCCCATGGGGCCACGAAACCTGTTGTTGTGAGGGGCGTGCCGGGATGGGTGGCGGGGACGCATGTGAGCGCGGCCGCTGGGGCCTTCGGTGGAGCTCCCTATGGGGCCACGAAACGTGTGAGGGGTGTGCCGAATTGGGTGGGTGTGGGTGACGCATGTGAGCGCCGCCACTGGGGCCTCCGGTGGATGATGGGGCCACGAAACCTGTCAGGGATGTGCCGAAATGGGTGTGCGGGACGCATGCGCATGTGAGCGCGGCCACTGGGGCCTTCGGTGGAGCTCCCTATGGGGCCACGAAACGTGTGAGGGTGTGCCGAAATGGGTGTGGGTGACGCATGCGGGCGGGCACTGGGCAGCTGGGTGTGAGCCGCGCATGGACTGCTTCGGTGGAGCTCCCTATGGAGCCACGAAGCGTGTGAGGGGTGTGCCGAAATGGGTGTGGGTGACGCATGCGGGCGCGGGCACTGGGGCCTTCGGTGGAGCTCCCTATGGAGCCACGAAACGTGTGAGGGGTGTGCCGAAATGGGTGTGGGTGACGCATGCGGGCGCGGGCACTGGGGCCTTCGGTGGAGCTCCCTATGGAGCCACGAAACGTGTGAGGGGTGTGCCGAAATGGGTGTGGGTGACGCATGCGGGCGCGGGCACTGGGGCCTTCGGTGGAGCTCCCTATGGAGCCACGAAACGTGTGAGGGGTGTGCCGAAATGGGTGTGGCTGACGCATGCGGGCGCGGGCACTGGGGCCTTCGGTGGAGCTCCCTATGGAGCCACGAAACGTGTGAGGGGTGTGCCGAAATGGGTGTGGCTGACGCATGCGGGCGCGGGCACTGGGGCCTTCGGTGGAGCTCCCTATGGAGCCACGAAACGTGTGAGGGGTGTGCCGAAATGGGTGTGGGTGACGCATGCGGGCGCGGGCACTGGGGCCTTCGGTGGAGCTCCCTATGGAGCCACGAAACGTGTGAGGGGTGTGCCGAAATGGGTGTGGGTGACGCATGCGGGCGCGGGCACTGGGGCCTTCGGTGGAGCTCCCTATGGAGCCACGAAACGTGTGAGGGGTGTGCCGAAATGGGTGTGGGTGACGCATGCGGGCGCGGGCACTGGGGCCTTCGGTGGAGCTCCCTATGGAGCCACGAAACGTGTGAGGGGTGTGCCGAAATGGGTGTGGGTGACGCATGCGGGCGCGGGCACTGGGGCCTTCGGTGGAGCTCCCTATGGAGCCACGAAACGTGTGAGGGGTGTGCCGAAATGGGTGTGGGTGACGCATGCGGGCGCGGGCACTGGGGCCTTCGGTGGAGCTCCCTATGGAGCCACGAAGCGGTGTACTGGGTGGGTGAAGAGGAGAGGAGGAGAGGAGGGGAGGAGAGGAGGAGAGGAGAGGAGAGGAGAGGAGAGGAGAGGAGAGGAGAGGAGAGGAGAGGAGAGGAGAGGAGAGGAGAGGAGACCGGAGAGGAGGAGGGGAGTTTTGAGGAACCTTTTTGGAGGGTAGTCGAGTAGGGGGACACGCCCGACATAGGCCCAGACGTCGGGAGAGCCGTCGGATGGAAGCTCGAGAGCGTCGTCGAGGACCCAACACCACAGGATGGTTGGGAAATACTCCAAAAATAATCCGGGGACTATGTTTTGAATCGTTTTTGAACCTTTTTGGAATATTTTTTGGGTATTTCTATTTTTTCGTCGAAAATCCCCCTGTAGGGGGACACGCCCGACATAGGCCCAGGGGGGGGCGCGACGTCGGGAGAGCCGTCGGATGGAAGCGCCGGAGCGGCGTCGAGAGCGTCGTCGGGGGCGGCGGCGCGCGCAGCGGCGGGAGAGGACAATGCGGGCGCTGAGCTGGGCCGTCGGGCGGAGCGTCGCCGGGCACAGCGTCGACGAGTGCATCGCTGGGGTCGGCGACGGGGGAAGCGTCGGGCACGGCGTCGGGGTCGGCGTCGAGAGCGGCGTCGGCCGGAGAGCGAGGCAAGGCGCCACGCTGGCGTAGGGCACGGCGTCGGGCACGGCGTCGGGAGCAGCATTGGGCATGGCGTCGGGGTCGAGGTCGGAGGAAGGAGCGGCGTCGGGGGCGTCGGGCGATCGGAACCACCCTGCACGCAACACCAGTTCTGGTCCCAGCATGCCGTGGCGCTGCAGCCCTCATAGGACTCCATAGCGCGCATCGGCATCGCCGTCGTCATTCATTCCACTCCGTCATGCAGCTGCAGGGGCCGCACTCGCGCCACTTGCGCACCTCGCAAACCACGCTGGATTTCGTGTACTGGTTGCGATCGGAGCCGCACTGCGCGTAGCACCAGCTCTGGTACCAGTCGGCCGTTGCGCTACAGCCCTCGTACGACTCCGAAACGCGATCGGCATCGGCATCGCAATTCCACTCCGTCATACCATTGCAGGAGCCGCACTCGCGCCACTTGCGCGTCCGGCCGGCCACGCTGGAGTTCAGGTAATGGTTGCGATCGGAACCGCCCTGCGCGTAGACCCAGCTCTGGTCCCAGTCAGCCGCGGCGCTGTACGACTCCATTGCGCCGTCGGCATCGCCATCGCAATTAAACTCAACCATGCAGTTGCAGGAGCCGCGTTCGCCGCACTTGCGCGCCTCGCCAGCCACGCTGGAAATCAGGTACTGGTTGCAATTGAACCGCCCTGCAAGTAGCGCCAATCCTGGTCCTAGTCGACTGTGGCGTTGCAGCCCTCGTACGACTCTGCACTGCCATCGGCATCGCCAACGTAGTTGCGCTCCGTCATGCCATTGCAGGAGCCGCACTCGCGCCACTTGCGCGTCTCGCCAACCGCGCTGGAGTTAAGGTATTGCTTGCAATTGGAACCGACATGCACGTAGCACCAGCTCTGGTCCCAGCCGGCAGTGGCGCTGCAGCCCTCGCACGACTCCATTAACACTACGAGCGAAATCCGCATCGGAACGAAGGCCTGGCGCTCAGCGACCCCAAAGTCGTGATCTGTGAAGCGTGCCGTCCTTGAGAGATGGCAGCGACAAATGCTGAGACCCAAGTGTCCGGGCAGGGAGCCCATAAGCGGCTCATGTGGCAGCCTGTCTGGTGCCTTCCTCACAAGATGGTAAACTTCGTCATGCCATACCGGCGCGCTCTCGTGGAAACTGGATGCAGTACTTTGGCTCGTTGTCGCGTGCGGGGGCCCGTGCTCACTCTGCAGTGCCGACAGTAGCCCTGCACCCAGACAGCGGCACTGAGGTCTCGGCGTTCTTTCCCTCCGCGCAAGCCGAGGGAGGTCCGCACAATCGAGTAATGGGACCGCACCAGAGCCAGAACCAGCCCACCTGCAGTTCGCAAGATGTCGAGTCATCCCATTGTCGTGAGAAAACTCCAGACGGAGGGTCCTGCTCACAGGACCCATACGAGCAAGCCCCCCGTCGGATGCAGAATAATGCTGAAGGTGCTGGGTGCTTTGCACAGGTGGGCCCCCGCCACGCACCTTGGCGGCGACACCAGGGTACTGCTAAAGGGCGCACACGTTGGCTGCGCCGAGGGGCGGTCATTGAAGCATTCCGAGCCCACCGCGAGGGGGGACGCGCATGTAGAAAGGATAGGGAAAGGGGGAAGTGGCCTCCTGGCGGTCAGCGGCTTGACCCAGAGCGGCCTTGAGCCAAGGCTTGAGCCAGGCTACGGACACACACACACACACACACACACACACACACACACACACACACACACACACACACACGCACAAACATGTCTTAACGTCGGCGGCTAGGCAGAATGACTGCGCTGGCGGAAGAGCATTAGTAGGGCATGCAGATGCGAATTCATCGCAATGCACGGGGGAAGGAACGCCCGGCGCGGGCAGGAGAAGGACGGAGGCCGGGCCCGCTCAGAGCGGGGCCGGGCGACGGCGGGGCAGCGCCGGGGGCGGGGGCCAGCAGCAGCGGGGCGGCGGCTGGCAGGGGGAAAGCTGGCATGGCAGGCTGCCAGGCAGCAGGCCGCACTGGGGGAACAGTGCAGAGCAAAGGCTGGCGTGAAGGTGTGCGCGCAGCGTCAGGGGCCACATGATGCTAAGGTGGCGCAAGCCACGAGAACACCGAGGCCAGCGGCGACCAGTGTGGGACCGCCTCAAGGGAGGGGTCGGCCTGAAAACCAGGCAAAGCGAGGAAACGCGCGGGCCAGGGCGCGGGCGGCAGTACCAACCCAGGTCCCAGGCGAGGAGGGGGGCGAGGTGGGCGGCCCTGCCTAGAACGGAGGCCGCGGAGACGAGGCAACCCGGGGCAGCAAAAGTTGCAGGAGAACTAACGCACCGATGGAGCCGACCCGTGAACTGGTGCACTGAAGTGAAGCTAGCGGCCTGACCGCAGGGGGTAGCAGGCCCGGAACGGGGGTGGCGTGTGGACGAGGCAGCGGCTCGACCCGGGTCGAGGCTCATGCTGCTAGCAACGAAGGGGGGCCAGCCTCAAATCTGGGGAGCGGCTGCGACTGGATCAAGCCTTTTGCATAGTAGCGACTAGAGGGCCAGAGGACCTCGGGCACGGCTGCCTGGAAGATCATTGCTGGGCCAATTGGAGTCGGCACGCCTCTTACCCTTTCCGTGGGGCGCGGGACCTTTTCCTTTCCCTTTGCCAAGCCTGGCAAAGCGGTCCCTCCTTTGTATCTCTTCGTCCCAGGACCGCTGCCAGTTGATCTGGATGCCCTTCGTCCAGCAGGGGCTGCGGACGTCAAAGCTGCCATCAATGAGCTGGCCTAAATATTCCTCGCAGACCTGCTCTCCCAGGACCTTCGTGTCACGGGTGGATCCCTGGCGCCCTGTTCGGTGGTCGCAGACGGCGTTTCAGCCGATGGCTAGCACGGGGCCGCATTTCCGCTTGAGACGGTTGATCACCTCCGTGCCACACACACACACACACGCACACGGACACACACTCACACTTACGCGATTGCGGCCTCACGCGCAATGGCGAGGCGGAGCAAGTCGAGCAAGCAGCACGGAACTACCGCGCGCGGCTGGGCCCTCAGAAGCGGGATCCCATATCCCATTGGATCGACCGCCCATAGGCCACCAGGGCGTGGGTGGAGACTGAAAGCATTGCAGCACTGCCTAAAAACGAAGGCGGCCCGGCCACACGACAGCGACAGAGAACAAGGCAGAAGAGCACGTGCAGGCGTGCGCTACCCAGAGCAAGGAGGGTACAGACGCTGACCTATGTCGCGGCGACAACAAACTGAGGGTGGAGGACGGAGGCAATGCTGGTGCGTACCCGGAACGACAGAGGTCGCGCGGTAATTACGCTACGCCTGCCCGGGGCGAGGAGCGTGGAGCCGACCAGCTGGCAAGGCAGGCCGAGGCGAGAGTGAAGGGCGGGGGGGGAAGGCAGTAGACCCACGCACACACGCACGCACGCACGCACGCACGCACGCACACGCACACACACACACACCACGCACACACACACACACACACACACACACACACACACACACACACACGCGCACAGACGCACGCAGTCACGCACGCAGTCACACGCACACACGCACGCACGCACGCACACACACACACACACACACACACACACACACACACACACACACGGCTGAGGCGGCGAGCTGCTCGGCCAAACAATACACACTTGTTGGCGGTCGCGGCCTCGCGCGCGGCGACGAGGCGAAGCGAGTCAAGCGCGGCGGCCGAAACCCAGGCCCGTGCCCGCATGCGCCAGCCCAGAGGGGGGCAGCACATTGCCATCCGGGCGTTCACGGCGGGGAGAGAAAGGGAATGCGCACTGGCCGCCAAACAACACACACACACAACACACACACACGCACCAGCACACAACACACACACAACACACAACACACACACACGCACGCACGCACGCACGCATGCACACACACACACACACCACACACACAACAGACAACACACACACACACAACACACACACACACACACGTGGCTGGATACGTGCGCGGAAGCTGCGGGGGTCACGCGCAAGATTCACACGGCACGCGACGGCGGCTGGCGTCCTCGGCCATGCGAGGGAGGGGGCGACGGAAAGGCGAGCGGTCCTCCTCCTACCTCCTCCTCCTCCTCCTCCTCCTACCTCCCCTCTCCTCCTCCTCCTCCTCCTCCTCCTCCTCCTCCTCCTCCTCCTCCTCCTCCTCCTCCTCCTCCTCCTCCTTTGCTCTCCTCCTCCTCCTCCTCCTCCTCCTCCTCCTCCTCCTCCTCCTCCTCCTCCTCCTCCTCCTCCTCCTCCTCCTCTGCCCTCCTCCTCCTCCCTCCTCCCTCCTCCTCCTCCCTCCTCCCTCCTCCCTCCTCCCTCCTCCCTCCTCCCTCCCTCCCTCCCTCCCTCATCCCTCCCTCCCTCCCTCCCTTCTCCCTCCCCCCTCCTCCCTCCTCTTCCTCCCTCCTCCCTCCTCCCTCCTCCCACCCCCCTCCCTCCTCCTCCTCCCTCCTCCCTCCTCCCTCCCTCCTCCCTCCCTCCTCCCTCCTCCTCCCTCCCTCCTCCCTCCTCCTCCTCCTCCCTCCCCTCCTCCTCCTCCTCCTCCTCCCCTCCTCCTCCCCTCCCTCCCTCCTCCCCCTCCCTCCTCCCTCCCTCCCTCTCCCTCCCTCCCTCCTTCCCTCCTCCTCCTCCCCTCCCTCCTCCTCCCCTCCTCCCCTCCTCCTCCTCCTCCTCCTCCTCCTCCTCCTCCTCCTCCTCCTCCTCCTCCTCCTCCTCCTCCTCCTCCTCCTCCCTCCACCTCCTCCTCCTCCACCTCCTCCTCCTCCCCTCGCCCAAGCCAGCCAGCCACGGCATGTGCGTGCGGCTTCCTGGCATGCTGACCTCGGGGGCTCCAGCGTGCGGATCCCTTGGAGAGGGGGAGGGGGCGTTTGGGACGCTGTTCTGAGCACCACGCCCACGGGAGAAGAGAGAGGGAGGAGAGAGAGGGCCGAGAGCACCTCAAAATTAGAGGGGCAAGAAGCGTGCCAGAGAAGGACGAAGAGGCGACCACATGTAAACCCGACCCCTGCAGGATAGACTTCTTAAACGCTGGCCGGGATTCAGAAGCCGAAGGATGTCTGTAGATTATCGAAACCCAGCGGGGCGCTCTCTTACGTCTCCTCGTACATCGTACCTCGTGCCTTCCGCCATCGAATATGACAGCCCAGTGGAACAGACTGTACCTCGTCTCGCCACTGGACTCTTCCGGTGGACGTCCAGCGAGTGCCCGACACCACAGCGTCGATTGGACCCGCAGGGTCAGGCTCGCACGTGGTCGCAGACCTGCGTCCGGGCAGGTCCTGGAATAAGCTCTCGATGGTCTGGGGCAGCAGCCCCTCCTCCCCGGGCTGGGCCGGCGACTGGCGCCAGGCAAACCACGCTGGCTCGTTCTCCTGCGGCTGGCGGGTTGGGGGAGGGGGCGCTCCGCTGCCCCTCGCGCCCAAGCGACTGGCCCACCCTTCGAGAACAGAAGGCAGCGTAGGGGAAGACAGAGAGATAGAGAGGGAAGGAGAGCGCGAGAGAGAGAGAGGGAGATGTACTCCCAGGAGCGGAGGGCTGCAGATGCACGCGTGTGCTCCACAATGCGTGTGCAAGAGTGCGTCCGTTTGCGTGAAGGCAGAAACACACAAGAATACAAGCCATAGAAATACATGCCCACAGGAACACACAAGACAGGAACAACTGCATTAAACAACGCCTACATACCGCAAGGAGTAACAAACAAACAGAAGTTCGCAAGAGCGTCGCGCGCGCACGCTCAAGGTCAAGCTAGGGCGCAACCCTGGGCGCTCAAGGAGCAGCAGAACTCCTCTGCCTGTTGATCCTTCTCCTCCTCTTCCTCCTGCTGCTTCTCCTCCTCGTCATCTTTCTCCTCGAGCCTATCCTTTCCTGTTTCCGCTCTAGTTGTTCTTCGCTGTTTTCGGGCCGGCACCGTCTGAGAATGGAGAATGGCCAGGGCACCAAGTTCCCAGACGGCGCCAGCACAAGTCGCGACGCTACCCTCCCCCCTCCCCAACTCTCACTCCGCTCTCCCCTCCGCCAACCCCCTGTCATCGCCAAAAAGGACAAACACAAGCAAAACACAAACATCGAAACAAGACGGAGAAGGAAAAACGAAACACACTTCTCTTTATACATACATACATACATACATACATACATACATACGTACGTACGTACATACATACATACATACATACATACATACAGACAGACAGACAGACAGACAGACAGACAGACAGACAGACAGACAGACATGCATACAGACAGACAGACAGACAGACAGACAGACAGACATGCATGCATGCATGCATACATACATACATATATACAAGACTGCAGAGGCGTTTCGCGCCATGCACCTTGGTCCTTGAAGTGTGGTATGCAGGCGGAATAGCAGAAGGTCAAGCCGACAATTTAGCGATAACCCCTTGTTGCCTTTTCCGGCATCGCCGCTATAATAATGTGATTCGTTATCCTTCCTCCATGCTTCTTTCTCTGCATTTTCGCCATACCCTGCGCATTCTCCCCATCCTCCTCAGCTCTTTATTGCGGAGGCTCCTCCTTGGAGAGCCTCTGGGGGCCTCACAAAAGTTGTTTCAAGGTTTCTTAATGCTTTCAGGAGGCCTCCTGGGTGTATTCTGGGGGCCTCTGGGGGCTTCCTCGGGCCACCCTGCCTCCAACCGCAGTCTCCCTGAACGACCAGGTCACGATTTGGAATGCTTCGGAGGGTGTCTTGGGGCCATCTTGGGCCACCATGGGGCTCTCTGAGGGCCATCTTGGACCCGTGTTGTGCCGTTTTGGGGCTCTCTTGGACTGCCTGGAAGCCCTTTCGGATGTTTGTGGGGCGATTTTGGGGCCTCCCAGGCGGCTTCGGACGCCCAGAAGACCGCCGTCTTGGAGCGTCGGGAAGCCGAAAAGAGGAGAACCCCAAAATTCACCAAAAACCAACAGAAATTTAATGATTTTTGCCTCTTGGGGCCTTCTTGGGAGTGCTCTTGGAGGCCTCTTTGGGGCCGTCCTGGAGGCCTCTTGGGCCATCTTGAGGTCACGTCGGTCACTCTTGGAGCGCTCGTGTGCTGTCTTGGGGGTCTCTGGGACGTCTCCGATGACCCCCCTGATCGCCCCGGGTGTGCTGCGAAGGCTTGTCGAAACGCCCTGCGAGGCCCGGGGGGCCGCTTCGAGGCCCGTCCGGAGGGTTCCAAAGCCCCAGATCCCGGGAGTTCGGTTTTAGGGGAGGAGGGGGGATGGGTTTTCCCCCCGCCCGGGCTTATAAAAATATAGGAAGAGGAATAGACATATATATATATATATGTATAAATATATATGTATATATATGTATATATATATATATATATATATATAATGCGAGGCACGAAGGAAAAAAAGGGGCGGGCGTCCCCTCCTCGTAGGCCGCGTGGCCCCCGTTGAAGAGCACCGGCACGCAGCCGGACTGCGCCGCGATGTAGAAGTGCGACCGCGTCGGGGTGTCGCCTCCCCGCCCCCTCCCATGATGGGCTTGTTTTCCGGAGGAGCACGAAGAGGAGGAGAAGGAGGAGGGGGAGGAGGACCCCCTCCCCCTCCAACTCATGCCGGTGGTGGTGGGAAACAGGCCCATCATCCCAGGCCTGAACTGGATCGAATCGGGAGATCGGATCGAATCGGAAGCGGGTCCCCAGAGGATTCCAAAGGGGGTTTCTGGGGGAGGGGGTTTTCCACAAGGGTCAAAAATAAACAGGAGGCTTCTGAATTCGATGATCGTGGGGTCAGCGCTACTCCCGTGCTGACGGGTGTCTGCTGACTCAGACGCGGTGCTGTCAAAAGACCGGCCCCCCCCTCTTCTCAGCATGGAAGGCCGCGCTTTCTGACAATTGCCCGAAAGCATCGTGCTCCAGGATTTCAGCTTCCATTCCTGGATATTCTTGACGAGGCTTGCAGGCCTGAGCTGCATCGACTCGGGAGATCGGATCGACTCGGACGCGGGCCCCCGGAGGGTTCCAAAGGGGGTTTGGGGGGAGGGGGTCCTCCAGGGAGGGTCCCCCAGGGGCCTGGTGTTGACGCGGTTCCGAGGCCCCGAAGGGGCTCTCTGAAAAGCCCCCTTCCCCCAAAAACCCCCTTTGGAACCCTCCGGGGGTCCGATCGCACCCGAATCGTCGCAGCATCGGGTCGGGACCGGACTTGCTTGGGAGCACGGATCGGGCTCGGTCGGGCCCTGCAGGTCGGGGAGGGAGTCGGCTCGTGCCAGGTCGGGTCAAGATCGGAATCTGAGGGTTGGGTCGGGCGTGTCCCCCTGCAGGCGGATTTGGGACGATATTTTTCTACAACAAAAAAAAACAAAAGTGGCCAAAAATGCTCGAAACATCCTCCCCGGAGTATTTTTTGACTATTTTTGAATGCTCCTCCTGTGGAGGGACACGCCCGACCTAAGATTAGGGATCGGATCGGATCGGATCGGACCGCGAGCAGCCCTCCCTCCCCCAGTCCTTTGTCCTCACTCCCTGAGGAGGCCTCCCGGCAGGTCTCCGTGGGAGAGAGTGGGCGCTGTCAAGCCCGACGAGCCACAAGGCCAGGGTGAGCCAGCGTAGGCCAAGGCTTCAGAGGGATGAAGCGGGAGTGGGCGAGAGCGAACTGGATTGAATTGTACAGCAGATGAGTACCGTTTAACCGATCCCCATCCCCAGCGGCCTGGCCTGGGCCCCACGGGCCGATGTACCCCCCTAGATGGGGATATAGGTCGTCGCCTTCGGGTTTCGAGGAGAATTTCCCCAACTGGGGTGGTCATTTGGTGGGGGTCTCGAAGGGGATGGGGATGGGGATGGGGATCGCTTAAACGACACTGAGCAAAATCAGCAAATATCAAGCCTTCGAGCACGGAGTTTCCAGCGACGGTGCCGAGGCTCACGTCCCAGGAGTTGCAGCCGAGACTCCGTGTCCCTGCCTCCCGCCGTCCCCCCCCACCCCTTATCTCCCGCAATCCCTCCTCCTCTCCTCCCCTGCCTCCCGCCGCTCCTCCTCCTCCTCCTCCTCCTCCTCCTCCTCCTCCTCCTCCTCCTCCTCCTCCTCGCAGGCGCCCCGCAGCAGGTTGTCTTGCTGCGCGCTGTCGTGCGACACCCAGGTCGGGCGTGTCCCCCTACAGGGGGACTTTGAATCAAAACTCGAAAATACCCCAAACCTTCCCCCACAAATAACCCAAAATTGTCAAAACATCGTCCCCCGACTATGAAAATACTGAAAATGGAGAAAATGGTCAAAAAAAATGGTTGCTTACCCCAAGTAATCACAAATTGTCCACGTGGTCAAAAAAATCGTCCCCCTGTAGAGGGACAGGCCCGACTTCATGCCACTATACGACGGCCGTGGGCGCACGCAGAGGCCGCGCCCGCACTCCGGGGGGGGCCCGGTGCTCTGGCGGTGGCCACGCCGTCCAGTGAGCCAAAGCTGGAGGGCGAACGTGGCTCGGGGATCTTCTACCGGGGTCAATCCAGACCCGGGTCAGCAGGAAACCGAAAAACTGCAATGCAGGAAAACAAAACGGCAACGCAGGTCTTCGCAAACCTGGGTCAGCCGATATGCGCGGCCGCCTCGCGGCCACGAGCGGCTCGCTAACCCGGGTCAGCCAGAGGGGGTCTTCGCAGGATCCTGCAGGATCCGGTGCCCTGGCTGACCCCCGTTTGCACTGACCCCCGTCTCGAGGCTCCCGAGTAGTGGTCGGGCGCAGGGTCCCGGCTATGGTACTTATATGGGCCGTTCATAGGGGAACGAACAATGGCATAAACATAACAACTCGGAGGTCTGCGCGGATTTCTTGGATCCGAAAAATCCGCGCGGACCTCCGAGTTTTTCATGTTTATGTGGCTCTGCTCATTTATCGCCGCCAGAGATGAAACACATATCCGATAGCACTGAAGGGCCTGCGAGCTGACCAGGGGCACCACGCAGATCGGAGGCCTCCGAAGACATTTCTCAGGATCCCCCCAGCTTTGCTGAGCAGGAGGGTGACAGGGGTAGGCTTGGGGATAGCCGGAAAAAACTTGAGCCATCGTGTCAATGGACCGATGCTGCACGGACGGCGGTGCTCCAACACCGCCGACAACATTCCCGAGCAAGCACATACATGTGGCTCTGCTCATTTATCGCCGCCAGAGATGAAACACATATCCGATAGCACTGAAGGGCCTGCGAGCTGACCAGGGGCACCACGCAGATCGGAGGCCTCCGAAGACATTTATCAGGATCCGCAATCCCAAATTCTTGGAACTGGCCAATGGCCTACGCGAAGCGTTTAAATAACAGCTCGCAGATATGTTCGACAAACAACTGCGGATATGGCAGGGCTACTAGAGTCTTAAATTTCCCCACTGTATCATTACCTACAAGTTGCTCATGTTTCTTGTTAGTGGCCGAGCAACGCCCCCTACTCATGACACATCTCTTGAGGGCAGAGAGCTCAGGACAACCAACAGCCAGCAGGGACGTGCTTTTTCTGCCACGGCGCCCCGTACTGGCAAAAGCTAGATGTATACATTTCGGCCCCGAGACGCTTGAGTGCGATGAGAGGACGGGTCAGCCAAATCCTAGAGGTGAAAGGATTCTCAATGACGACGCGCACCTTCGCCAGGACGCAGGCACGAGCCAGGGCGGCCGAGGCGCGCATCAACGCGTTGCCTAGGCGGACTTTTGCCAAATCCTTGTCACAGAGGCCAGGGATTCCAAGCAGCCCTGGCCCATAATCTCGGAGGGGGGCGGGCCCCGCCCCCCCTCTCCGAGCTCTGGACCAGGAGGTGCAGGGGGCCCCTAGCCAGACGAGACGGCAGGCAGGTGAGACCGCGAGCTCAAGGAGGGCCGCCAAGGCCTCTGGTCTGAGGATATCCTGATTGGCCGAATGCGCAATGTCAAAAGTATAAACGCGATAGCCTATGCGGGCCAGCTCGAGCGAGAGGCGGCGGCAGCCCGCAAAGACCTCGATGCAATAGCCGCGGCTCCTGCGGATCACAGACGGCGGCTCAACGACGCCGTAAGGGCGCCCGGCAGCGGCTGCAGGGCACCTCGAGCCACCGTCATCACGGCCCGCGGCAGCAAAGCATTTTCTCGAGGCAGCCGGGCCGCTGCCTTCCAACGTCTCCTCGCGGCGTCGGCACACCAGCGGCCGCGCCGCTTCACCTCCCGCGGCGTCTTCACATTCTCCTTCCTATCGACCGACGGCCAGCCGTGCCTCCTCATGGGCAAGATATGCTGCCTCGTCATCCCGAGGCGCAGCTGGGCGGACCTGAACAGCGCTGTGAACGGAACCATCGGGAACACCAGGATCCTCTGGCTGGTCGCCAGCTCCCACGCGATCCGCAGCGCCTGGTCGATGTAGAGCCTCGACGCTTGGCCTCTCTCCTCGGGGTGATGATTCAGCGCGATGCAGAACGAGATCCGGAACAGCGGCGCCATCACGTCCGCCGCCTAAGGAGGCAGCTCCTCCGAGGGCCTCCAGTGGCACGTGAGGAACAGCACCACCAGCGCGGCCGCCAGCGGGTCGCCCCAGTCCAGCATCACCTGCTTCACCGCAACCGCGCCCAGCCAGGACACCAGCGCCCAAGCGAGCGCCGTCTCCAGGCCCGACCAGGCCAGGAGGGCCCGCGGCGTACGGGGCAGCGGCGCACCCCCTCTCCCCGCCGACGGGACAGTCACCAGCCAGGCCGCGTAGCGCACCTGCCCCGCGGAGTGGTCGTCGCCGTCGGTGCACATCTCCTGCGCCAGCTCGGCCATCGCGAGGTCGGCGGACTCCAGCAAGATCACCAGTAGACCCAGGAGGAGGCCCGGGGCGGCCAGCCTGCGTAGGGCGCCTCGGTACGTCGGACACGACTGCGCCCTGGCGGCAGCGAGCCCCGTCGCGCGGGCCACCCCCAAGCCAGATGGGCATGCGACCTCGACGATGTCTGTCACGCGCTCCGGCGACACGGGCCGCGACCTGATCGGCTTGGCAGGGCCCCTGGACGAAGCAAGGCGCCTCAGGACCGTAGAGGAGCGCGTCAGCGCCCTCCCAGAGCCGCGAGCCGCCATCCGCCGCGTTCAGCTCAGACGGGTGCCATCGATGGTGCACCCGAACGTCGGCAGCAAGTGTCAGTGCGAGAAGACGCCTGCAGATCCTTAACAAACCTGGGGCAGAGGACCTGCCTTTCTCTGAAGCCAAGATGAGCGATAGATTATCCCCAAGATGAAGACGTGAACGGCCGAACGACGCCAGAGAACGAAGCTGGTGCCTGAGGGCCGCCACGGAGCCCCTGCCTTCGAGTACCATGATGTTTTCGACCTCCAGGAAACGAGCTGCAAAGTCGAGCTGCCAGTCTTTGGGATCCATGAGCTCCTGAGGGATCTCGACGAAGATGGGGTTCTCGTCCCAGACCTCTGGAGTCTTGAAGGGGCCCACCGGCTTGACAGCGTTGATGCTGCTGAAAACGTCCGAGCCCAAGAGCGCATGATCACGAGCCCTGATAGCGGGGGTCCCA